AGACAAAATCTAAAATATTGTATTTTTTCAAATAGCTCTCGCATGCATAGTGTCCGTTCAACGCATGGTGTGAACTTAATAAGCTTGTATTTTGTCATTTACTCGTTAGCCTTTTGACGAACGATTATGGAAATAAGTGCTTAACGGATATTTTAAACGTTAAGCGGAAGTGGCGTACATGATAATTACTTAGAGCAGCAATGCTCAAAATAGGTCCGAAGACCCCCAGTGGTTCGCGAGGGCACTCCAGGGGGTCCGCGAGTCATATCCGAAATTTCATAAAAATACTTTTCGTAAAATTATATTTATAAAACATTTCTCTTAGCGATCAATAGATGGCACAACTAAGAGTGTGACTTCTTCAAAATTTTTGGAAAGTTCAGATCATAGGAATTTATAAAATAATGGTTTCATTGGTATTATATAGCAAGCCTTTTTTTGTAGTACCTTACCTATTTTTTCAAGAACAGCCTTATAAAAGGATTTCACTTAAAAAGTACCTTTTTTCTGTATCGTTTAGTAAGAAAAGTCCAGATTACATATACGCCTCCTAAGGATTTGTTTGTAGTTGAGCACAAAAGGTTATCTATGCTCTGCCCACCACGAGTATCGAAACTCGGTTTTTAGTGGTGTAAGTCTACAGACATACCACTGTGCCTCTGGGAGGCCCTCCTAAGGACAGTAGTATTCTACAGTTTTATGATTTCAAATTTTAAGAGAGATGGTTAAATATTTCAAATCAATTTTACTTAAAAATATAATTGCATGGTGTTTTATGCTCATGCGTGGATTAAGAAATATTTTAAATTCAAGGGCAAAAGGTCTAGCTACATCATTGCATAATATATTGTCTCCGGTAAGTCAGCGGTAACGAGATTCGCAAATATCCCCACAAACAACAGCAAATATCCCCACAAACAACAGCGTAATATCCCCACAAACAGCAGCGTAATATCCCCACAAACAACAGCGTAATATCCCCACAAACAACAGCGTAATATCCCCCACAAACAGCAGCGTAATATCCCCACAAACAGCAGCGTAATATCCCCACAAACAACAGGAAATATCCCCACAAACAAAAGCGTAATATCCCCTATAAACTTACGTTATTATGAATAATTTTCATTTATTTGTGGATATTCAGATAAAGTATTATTTTTAAACAACTAATTCATTTTTCGTTATGTCTAGTACACAGATAGGCAAATTATAAAATGTCTTTAAAAAAAAAGGTTAGGTACGGTCTTACGGTTAATGTGCCTGGAATGTGACTTCGAAAAATGTGCTCTGTACTTTGGGAGCATGGGTTCGCTATAAGAGTCACAGAGAAATCTTACTATCCAATCAAACAAAAGTAGCAGTAATCGCTGTTGACTAGCTGCCTTATTTCTAGTTGAAAATTAGGGATAGCTATGGGCAGATAGTTCTTGCATAGCTTTGCTCGAAATTCTGAAACATATATATTTTTTCTAGATTCTGTTAATCAGGTTATAGCTATTACTACAATATATGTAATATTCAAGAAAAAGTTAACATTTTAAAAAACTGATATGAAAAACGTCTCCGAGAAGGACTGCTTATTTGTTTAACTTTTTTCTTTTTCGAAACGTGGGCTCTAATATTTCAAAAATTAAGAATGTGTGAACAGTTACACAAGCCTATATATTTGTATTGTAACCAACAATCAATGTTAGTTATAAATATAATATAAATGATCAAGATTTCAAAGTATTAATTTCTAAGCAGTTCATTTATTTTAATTTATGTTTTCGTAATTGATTATGTTATTAGATGTAATTGCAAATCACATTCCATCTACGGTTGTTGAATTTCTGTAAGCTTTTCAAAGAAATTATTTGCAGTTTTTTCATCTATCTTCTATGATTATTGAGAATTTAATTCTACGTTTTTAGTGCATTCAGTTTGCTTAGCAGAGCCCCCAGTGGCACAGCGGCATGTTTGCGGACACACAACGCTAGAAACCGGGTTTCGATACCCGTGGTGGGCAGAACACAGATAGCCCATTGTGTAGCTTTGTGCTTAACTTCAAACAAACAAACAAGCTTAGCAGAATTGTTTTCACGTAAACTATAACACAGATTGGTAGGTGCACTATTCTGGGATTCCTTAATTCTAATTTTCTAAGTCGTAAATAGCAAGCTTCAATAAACTGGTCTGATTTTATCAAGAATTTCTAAACACGTTAGAAGTTATATGCAGAATTTTCAATGACATTATTATTATTTTACCAACATGCGATTCCTTTGTCATTAATTCGTTTATATATGATAATCTAGATTACTCAACTTTCGAGGCAGATTTCAATAAATAAAGAATTCTGTCCTGGAAATAAAAACCTTACATTGGATTTGACAGTTTCTGTAACATTTGCTTGAGGACGAATTCATTGTGTTTATTTTATCAAATATTTACTTCTTGCACCCCGTGAATGATAAACGAATCAACACAGATGTTGATAATCTAATTTATCCCAGCTAACTGTTCTTAAATTTTGTAATTTTAAAAGTTTGAGTGCGTTTACTGCAGGGTTGTACTTTCTAAACTGTTGACTGAATTTATGTTTACCGTTCAAAAATTAAACGTGGAGACAGAAATTCGTTTGTTCCTGAAAAATATTTGTTTTTGTACATACCAGAATTTTTTTGTAACAAATTTACACTTAAGATAAGTTTTCAGTTGTAAAATAAAAATTTCTGTAGGTAATAATGTAAGGTTACAATGATGTGAAGTTAAAAATGAAAATTTTCTGAAAGCAATAATTTAAAGCAACAACTAAGAACATTTTCGAAAAGCAGTGATATTAAATTATAACTGAAGATTTTCTTAAACAGGCTCATTGCCACCCTCGCATTTCATCTTTAATAATGAAATCTATGACTAGATAGAAGGGGTGGCAATGATATCTTGTCTTGCTCTTACTTTAATGAATATTTTGTGAAGGCAGTTATATACAGTTAGAACTAAGAACATTTTCTAAAGACCATGATGTAATGTTTCAACTGAATATTTCCTGAATCTACAATTAAATATCATATAAAGACAACAATGAAAAGTTACAACTAAACATTTTATGAAGTGAACAATGTAAAGTTTCAACTGAATATTTCCTGAAGCTACAATTAAATATCATATAAAGACAACAATGAAAAGTTACAACTAAACATTTTGTGAAGTAAACAATGCAAAGTTTCAACTGAATATTTTCTGAACGCAACGATGTAAAGTCGTTGTTAAACATTTTCTAAAAGCTTTCATTTAATATCTTAAATTAGTACATTTTGGAGGTTGAGACGTAAAGTTACAATGAAGAAATGTTTTGAAGCTTAGAATGCCTAGAAAATATAAATGTCACAACTGACCAAAACAATTAAGTGTTTATGATGAGAAATTAAATTTCAGACCAATATATAAATGTATGACCGTAACCTACACGCCATCTAAGAGATGCGCTCAAAAAAGTCGTAGTTAGTAAAACACGAGGCAAATGCACGATCGTTAAAAATAATGAGAGTTTTTTCTCAAGTCTATTGGTTTAAGTAAGAGCTTGTTATTGCGTGTCTACAGCGTGAAATTATGGTACAGAACGTTTAGTACTCGACTTGAGAATAAATAGAAACTTAATTAAACGAGATTGTCGAAGTTTATTATTTCTATTGGACTGGTGACTCTTACATTCACACTATTTGAATTAGTGAAAGCTTCCATGAACTGCATCTGTCTGGAGTGTTGAACTCGAGATTAATAATCGTAAATTGAACATCCGAAATATCACTCCCTTTAGAATATAACTTCGCTGTATGGTAGAGGCAAAAATGAGAAAATTATGTTTAGAGTTATATTTATAATTTTTGTTGAACATGAAACAATAACTTCAAAACAGCAGGTACAAAAATATGGAATTCCTTAAACTTAGTAAATTGTTTTCAATTTAACCATCTTAGCTAATATCATATCATCAGTTGCTATGGTAGGTATTGTCTAAGTATCACACCAGTTCCTATGGTAGGTCTTGTCTAAACCTCACATCAGTTGCTATGGTAGGTCTTGTCTAAGTATCACACCAGTTCCTATGGTAGGTCTTGTCTAAACCTCACATCAGTTGCTATGGCAGGTCTTGTCTAAGTATCAAACTAGTTGCTATGGTAGGTCTTGTCTAAACCTCACATCAGTTGCTATGGTAGGTCTTGTCTAAACCTCAGATCAGTTGCTATGACAGGTCTTGTCTAAGTATCAAACTAGTTGCTATGGTAGGTCTTGTCTAAACCTCACATCAGTTGTTATGGTAGGTCTTGTCTAAGTATCACACCAGTTCCTATGGTAGGTCTTGTCTAAGTATCACACCAGTTCCTATGGTAGGTCTTGTCTAAGCATCAACTGAAAACTCTCTTTTGACATTCTACGTGATGAATAAAGTGATGAAACTTCAAGTGTATTATCATCATTCTTGCATAGGAACACTTATTAGTGTTTATGACGGGTTCAGGTTTTAAAGAATATATTAGTATGCCTTAGAAGTGGAAAACAAAATATAGTATATAACTTTGGTTAGTATTCATGAAATTCCTGGAATGTAATATTGTAACCAAGTGAAGTATACACGATTGTGATTTTAAATCAAAACCAATAACTTTTATCGCAAGTTTACGAAGACAGTATTAATTACTTGTATACACTGTTAAAATATTTTTAGTATTTGAATATGATAAAATATACACTTCCAAGATATATTACAAACTTAACATTTGATGTAGTAAACAACGATCATTATTTTGATGTCTACGATATTGGGATACGAGACAAAAACACCAATACATGTTTACTATATTTGTATAAAGCGTTTGATAGTATTGTTAATTAAAACTCATACGAGTATTATTTGATTATTAAACATAACATTTGTTCATATATTTGTAATACGTTAAGATTAAATTTTTTTATTATATTATTATCAAAAATACCCTTGCCATAAGCTAAATAAATGCGTTAAGATGACTGTAAATGACGTCACTACTGTGATCAGACCACCGAAATTGGAGCATTAGAAAGCATTGGTCGAATTATGTCCCAGGATCCATTGTTTGGCAAGGGTTCCAGTCCTATTATGTGGCACATCAGGTTATATTGGTCTACCATTTTCACAGGTGGCGCTTTGTAACCCTTCTTTAATTCTGCAATAAATTGATGATTTAAAAGATAATATTTTAAATAAAATCTATTTAGATGATGAAAGACTTAGCAACTATTTAATAATGGCTGGAGACGGCTTGAATGTGTAATGAAGAAAAACTTATAT